TCTTATTTTGGCAAGGTTAGTCCTGTTTGGCTGCAAAAATCATCTTATTTTGAGAGTGTTTTTTTTCAAAAACTTTTCTCAAAAGTACTTTTGGTGAGAAGCAGTTTGTGTTTGACTAATTAATTTGAAAAATACTTCTGAGCAGCAATTAGTGTTTGGCCAAGCTTTTAAAAACTGTTTCTAAGTGTATTTTTCTCAAAAGTGTTTTTAAAAAAAAGTGCTTTTGGAGAGAAGCTATTTTTTTCTGCTTATCCAAAACTGTTTCTGCTTCATTCAAAAGCTTGACGAAACACTTCAACTTTGAAAAAAAAAATACTTTTTTTGAAAAAAAAGTGCTTTTAGGATTGGAGAAGCTTGGCCAGACAGGCTATAGGTGTCAAAAGACTTAATAATCAAATCTTACACTCCAAAATGTTCATACACCAGAAAACATGGTTTCATCTTCTAGAATTGTAATACACCTACACTGCTTTTATTCCCCTTCTTGTAAACACACACACCTGAAGCTTAGGCAGTGATTCGATCAACTTAGGTCATCGTAAATCAAGTAGAAGAGCTAAAAGATGTTAGAATGGGAGTGCATTATTTGATGCTATACTTCTACAGAAAAATCTAAGCCAATCCAGCCAATCCCCCTTCCCAATCAAATATCCCTTCGGACTCTCAAAAGAAAGAGGAATTCATTTCACCTGGATATTACACCAGATTGTATAGCTTCTTCAAGATGTGGCCAATTCAGATTTACAAGTGAAGGGTTTGAATGAACAGTTACGAAAAAGAACCGGTTACTAGTTTAACAGAGTAAATTCCTTGAAATAAATAACATGACTGATAGTATGTTACTGAGACATCCACAGCCACATAGGAATGATCCTTCGCGATATCTATGTAATGGACAGTGAAAAAAAAGGGCAGCCCGGTGCACAAGGCATTCCGCATTCACGCAGGGTCCGGGGAAGGGCCGCACCAAGGGTGTGATGTAGATAGCCTAACCTAATGCAAGCATTATTGACTGTTTCCACGGCTCCAAAAACTAATACGCGATCACTGGGACTAACTCAAAAAACTAATACGCGACCACTGGCCATACTTCAAAACAACAGCTACATTATGCAGACTTTGTCTAATAAGGGGATAGCAAAAAATAACTTTAGCTCAGAATAATTGAAACATATATATATAAGGAGTACTTCCTTATTTAGTTGAAAGAAAAACTTGATAAGAAGAAGAGGAAAGGAAAATATAAGACGTATAGGCATGTGTCTTACATACACACTTTACTATATGTATTCTCAATATTTTTTAACTGCTAACATTAAATTGTTCATACCCAATGCGAGTAAAGTATTGACAAATGGGGATTCAACATTCTGGTTTTCACAATATTTTGTTTGATCTCAACAATGTCCAGAAGATCTATTGATATATAGCTGTATGTGTGTGCATAGCAGTGTGTGTGCATGCAGTGCAATGTATAACAGCCTAGAAAGAGTGGGGTCATTGTGTAATTATCAAAACTTAGGCGGTTAAGTGGTTAGTTAGGTATGAGTTGTCAACCACTAACTACTAATATAAACAACCCCTCCCTCTTGTAATGTTCTTAATCGAACAATAATAACGATCATCTTCCTCTTCTCTCTCGAGAGAGATTATTTCTCACTTTCATGTCATCTCAGTCGAAGATCCAATGGATTCTATCATGGTATCAGAGCATCGGTCTTAGGATTTATAGCTCCGATCAAAGTTCCGCCGGAAATTAGGAAAGCAAAGCACCGACGAAGCTCAGATTTGAGCAGCCATGGCCGGAAATGAAGTTGCTTCGCTTAACCACAATCATCCGCTATTTTTACAAGATGGAGATGATCCAAGACTCGTGTTGATACCGCTCAAACTCATAGGGCCAGAAAATTATGCCCTTTGGAGTAGAGTGATGAAGTTAGCACTATGAGGAAAGAGTAAACTTGGTTTTGCAGACGGTACTTGTGTGAAAAGCAATTACAGAGGAGAATTGGCAGAGCAATGGGAAAAATGCAATGCTATTGTGTTGTCATGGATTGGAAGCACGATATCAAGTGAATTAATATCGAGTATTGTGTATGCGTCAAATGCGAAGAAAGTTTGGAACGATTTCCAGGAGAGATTTGACATATCTAATCTCACTAGAATTTATTATCTGTGGACTTCAATTGCGATTCTAAGGCAAGGTATTGATTCAACTACTAGCTATTATTCGAAAATGAAGGATTTATAGGATGAACTTGATGTATTAGCCCTTTTTCCCTCTTGTAATTATGAGGAATCTAGACCTTCTGTAGATCATTTGAAAAACATAAGGTTGTTGCAATTTCTTATGGGATTGAACGAGAGTTACAACAATATACGCAACAATGTGTTGACAAAAAGGCCAGTTATAACTGCTAATGAGGCTTATGATATAGTTAGTCAAGAGGAGAGTCAAAGGACCTTGGGTGTCACATATACACACAGAGATCCACTCACAATGTTAGCAGGAAAAGGTCAAGACTTTAGACCTAGAAAGCCTAGCTTAATATGTGAGTATTGTGGGTATAAAGGACATCTAAAAGAGAATTGTTTTAAGATAATTAGATATCCACATGACTTTAAATCAAGAAGAAGAATCAGACAACTGGAGGAAAAACATATGCTAACAATGCAAATGCAAATACGACTACTGCAAGGAAGAGAGAACAATGCCCACAATTCAAGCACCATGCCAATTATTTGCAAAAGAGCAATACAAGCAGTTGGTTAATCTGTTGTCAAAGCCTAATGCAGCGGAATTTCTACAAATATGACAGGTTTAATCTCTCTATTATCTACTGTAGACATGTGTGATTGGGTAATAGATTCAGGGGCAACCCATCATGTCACCTACTGTAAGGATGTTCTAAAGGATATTAAAAGTGCTGATAGCCAAGGAATGCAAGGAGTGCAAGTGCCTACAGGAAACAAGTCAAAAATTACTCATACAGGAAATGCAACTATATTAGAAAATAAGACAATGAAGAATGTATTGTATGTGCCAGATTTTAAGTTCAATCTACTTTCAGTGTCTAAACTCACTAAAGATCTCTGGTGTTCTGTCACTTTTTCCCCTGATTTCTATATATTTTAGGATCTTTATAGTGGTAGGGTGATGGGATTGGTAAAGATAACAATAGATTATATCTACTAAAGGAGAACATAATACTAGCAGCATCAGGATTTTTTGTGCGACAAGAAATTAACACTGAGCTTTGGCATCTGAGACTGGGACATGCATCACCAAAGGCAATGGAAAGTATACCAGCTCTTAGAAATAAAGTTGATTCTCAAGTTCAACAAAACTGTGAAGTTTTCCCTTTGGCTAAGCAGTGTAGGTTGAAATTTCCCATTAGCAGTACTAAGTCTACTAGCTGTTTCCAATTAGTCCATCTAGATGTATGGGGCCTCACAAGGTTCTTACCTATTATAGAATGCATTACTTTGTCACCATTGTGGATGACTACAGTAGATACACTTGGGTATGTTTGATTCAATCTAAATGTGAAGTAGCTATTGTAATAAAGAACTTTGTTACAATGATAAGAAATCAGTTTGATGTTGCTATTAAGGTGTTGAGGTCAGATAATGGTACATAATTTTGAACTCCCAGTGCAATGAATTGTTAGCTTCTCTTGGGATCATACACCAAAGCATTTGACCATATACTCCACAGCAAAATGGGACTGTGAAGAGAAAACATAGACACATTTTACAAGTTGCAAGAGCTCTGAAATTTCAGAGTTCAATACCAATGAGATTTTGGGGAGACTGCGATCAAAATTGTTGTATATTTGATTAACAAATTGCCTACTGAGATATTGGAAGAGAAGTGTCCTTATGAGATGTTGCATAACAAGCCTGCCAAGCTGGACCATCTGAGGGTGTTTGGTTGTTTGTGCTTTGCAAACAACTTACCAAGAGGAGATAAGTTCACAGCTAGAGCAAAGAAGTGTGTTCTTATAGGATACTCAGAGACTCAAAAGGAGTACAGGTTATATGACTTAGAATCTAGAAGAGTACTTGTGAGCAGAGATGTCACATTTAGAGAATATTTCTTCCCATTTAAAGAAGGGGCAGATGCAAGTGAGGATATGTTTCCTTGTGAACCAGTGGTGGTTGCTCCTGCAGAGACCAATCAGAATCATCACCCCCAACATTAATCTTCTGATGGCCATCATAGTGACAACCGACATTGTAGTGATGCTCCTACTACAATTCACATTGCAGAACCACGTGTATCACCTCCAACAACTCCATTACCAGTCACACTAAAACCATAAGCAGAACCACCTGCACTACCTGTATTGCAGGAATCAAATGCAGACAATGTTAATCACTAGACAACAGAAAATGTATCACAACCAGCAGCTCATTCAAAAGAAGCACCAGCTGAAGGAATACCATATGAAGAACATCTTATGCATACATTACATGCTAGAAAGTCTAGCAGAACCTCCAAACCTTCTATTTGGCTCAAAGATTATGTGACTACAGTCAAGCCAAACAAGGATACACCATACACTATCTCCAATTTCATCACTTATGATCACCTTTCTGAGAATTACAAATCCTTTTTAGGATCTTTCTCAGAACCTACTGAACCTAGGTCCTTCAAGGAAGCTTGGATGACAAAGCATGGGTGGAAGCAATGGGAGCAGAAATTAAGGCACTTGAGGATAATGCAACATGGGAAGTAGTATACCTTCCTTCTGGCAAAAGAGTTATAGGTTCAAAATGGGTGTTCAAGATTAAATACAAGGCAAATGGGGAGGTGGAAAGGTTTAAAGCAAGTTTGGTAGCAAAAGGCTACACACAGCAAGAAGGGTTAGATTTCCATGAAACATTCCCCCTGTTGCAAAGATGGTCATTGTCAGGACCATTATCAGTGTAGCAACTTTTAAGGGATGAAATCTTTTCCAAATGGATGTAAATAATGATTTCCTGTAAAAGTCTACATGCACTTGCCTCAAGGATTCCACAAGCAGGGGGAACAGAAGGTATGTAGGCTGCTGAAATTATTATATGGGCTAAAGTAGGCCTAGATAGTGGAATATTAAATTGACTGAGACACTATTAGCAGCTGGTTATGCACAAAGCCCCTATGATCACTCATTGTTCACAAAAAGGCTGGTTCAGATATTGCCATTATCTTAGTCTATGTAGATGATTTACTCATCACTGGTAGCAATCATGTTCTTGTGGAGGAAGCTAAACAGACATTACATAGTTCATTCAAGGTGAAAGACCTAGGAGACCTTAGGTATTTTCTTGACATTGAAGTACTGAGGTCAAACAAAGGAGTACTTCTTACTCAAAGGAAATATGCACTTCAATTAATCTCAGATGTTGGACTTGCAAGTGCTAAGCCTATTAATACACCTATAGAGCTCAATCAGAAGTTGACTACCATTGATTATGATACACATGTTGGTCATATTAGAGATGTAGAATTGCAAGATTTAGGAAGCTACCAAAGACTTATTGGAAAGCTTCTTTACCTAACAATTACCAGACTAGATTTATGTTTTGCAGTCTAGGTGTTAAGTCAGTTTATACAGCATACCAAGCAGTCTTATTTGGATGCCTGATATGTTAAAGGTGCCCCAGGCCTTGGCCTTCTACTATAAAATTCTCCAATAAATCACTTTTCTATTTATTATAACTCTGATTGGGCAGGTTGTCCAAACACCAGGAGATCAGTTGTTATATTGCCAAGCTTGGGGACTCCCTGCTCTCGTGGAAGTCGAAGAAGCAACCAACAGTTAGCAAGAGTTCAGCAGAGGCTGAGTATCGTAGTTTTGTAGCAGCAACTGCAGAAATTACTTGGGTGTTAGGATTGCTTAAGGAGCTGCAAATTTCAGTTGATGTTCCAGTTAGTTTGTACTGTGATAGCAAGGCAGCTTTACAAATAGCTGCCAATCCCATATTTCACTAGCGAACTAAGTATATCGAGATCGATTGTCATTTCGTTCGTAAAAAGATCAAGGCTGGATTGATCAATCCTCAGAACATTCCCACTAGTCTCTAACTAGCTGATTTAATGACCAAAGGTCTGAGCTCAGCACAACATCATTTTCTTCTATCCAAGATTAGAGTATTTGATGTTTTTCACCCTCCAGCTTGAGGGGGAGTATTGATATATAGTTGTGTGTGTGTATAACAGTGTGCGTGTGTGTGTGCACAGTGCATTGTATAATAGCCTAGAAAGAGTGGGGTCATTGTGTAATTACCAAAAAATTTAGGCGATTAAGTGGTTAGTTAGGCATGAGTTGTACTAACCATTAATATAAACAACCCCTCCCTCTTGTAATATTCTTAATCGAACAGTAATAATGATCATCTTCCTCTTCTCTCTCGATTATTTCTCTCACTTGCATGTCATCTCAGTCGAATATCTAATGGATTCTATCAAGATCTTCCTCCAGTCTTCTCAGAAAAGACTGACTCAACAAATAACGCATTGAAATGGTGAAATATTTCAGAATGTAGACATATCGAAAAGGAAGGTCAATTTGCTCTTGAACAGTTTTAACCTACTAATAAAAATATGGGGTTACATTCAGCGAAATTAATGTTGAAAACTTGATCTAGTTTAAACGTAAGTTAATTTCATCGAGATAAAGTAATTGTTTCCTATTAAGTAGTTATTGATGATTTCATAGGTTGTTGGTTCCTCGTCTAGTGATGACAGATTACATAAGTAATATGATTTACTTAAACTAGTTACTGAATACAAGATCTATTTAACACAACCTCAAATTTGCATAATTTTTCATCATTAAGTTTTGCATTAATATTTTATCAACACAAAAGAGATTTTATTTTACTCTGCAATCAATTCATAAAAAATCACAAATTCGATATTGATGTCTCCTCCTTTTAAGTACCTCTTAACTAAAGAAAGGAAAACTGGGCACTTTATATGCTACCACACTTCTCTCCTTCATCCTAACATAATATTTGTTACCAATTGGGCATCAAGTTGACAACCTTGGGGCACATTTAGTTTTATGTCAAGTTATGCGTGAAGTTAAAATGCAGAAATTATATATGTGTTGAATAATAATGTAAGATCTATTACGCAATAAATAAAAATGTCGAAATTGTTATATAGTGATTGCTCAATTTAAGAGTATTTTTACCTTTAAATACTCTAATTCACATATTATCGAACTTTTTTCTCCCCTCTCTCTAACATACCAACCTCACTTTACTAGCGCTATATCCAATCATGGAGCCATCCAAAGAAAATAATCATGATCGAATTCCACCCAAACCCCTAGATATCCCAAATACTTTCAACACTATCAATGCAAAAAATAAGGAACTAGAGCAACATATCTCCTTTAAAGAAAAACTACTATCCAGTGAATACACGATGAACATTGATTTACCATAAAGATACAATCAGACAAGAGACAAGACCGATGCCAGACAAAATTATGGACATACCCACAGGACAACTAGCACAAGGCATAAGGGTTGTCCAACTAACTGAAGAGGATAAGTATTGCATGTATCAACCATGGAAATACTCGTTAATTATTAAACTCATAGGCAAGAGCATCTCACACCAATACCTAAAAGAAACAAATACAAGAACTATGAAAACCAACATAAATCTTCCCTCTCATTGATCTTTGATCTGGTTACTTTATTATAAAGTTCACAAAGGAGGGGAATATGATCAAAGTTACAGAATAGACCCTGGTTTGTAAATGGTTATTTCCTCCCCATTAAAAGATGGGAACCCTAATTCATAGCAAGTGAACCGATCCAAACTATTTCAGCAATTCGGGTACGCCTTCCACAGTTACCTACAGAGTTTTACGACGCGATCATACTAAAAAGGATCGGAAACCCCATTGGACACCTGCTAAAAATAGATGCATGCATCAGTGCTACTCTCAGATGAAGGTATGTAGCAATATGTGTCGAGCTCCCTCTTGATGAACCTGTCCAATTAAGAATCTATATATGCACATATAAACAACAAATCATCTATGAAGGCGAGAAGATTCTTTGTAAATTGTGTGGAAGACAAGGTCACACCTTACAACAGTGCACACATCAAAGGCCCTCAACATCAGTGACTACTACGGAGTCACCAACATCTGCCATAACCTAACACACAGAGCAATGGCAAACAGTCTCATTCTCAAGGAGGAAGAAATCCACAAGTGCTACAACCCCAAATTAAGGAAAGCAGATGCCTTAAAAGCACTCCAACGCCATATTTCATAGCAAGGATCCAGGTAAAAACGTTAAAATATTTGATGCCGCCACAGGTAAATATCTACACACTCAGAAACTAGCTTTTAAAACAAAAAAATCATATTTTATTAGTAGCCCCAAAAACTCTAACCTTATTAATAGACAAACGCATGGTTATCACAAATTAAATGATCATGGGAATACTCAAACAAAGAACAATCAATATCCCAGTGATCCTAATAAATTCTACATCCTCCAAGAAAAACAAAACAAAATAGAAGATATACCAATTCCGCACACTCTCTCCCTTCGATAGACCTACATGTTGTTTCCAATTCCACACACTCTCTCCCTTCGATAGAACCAATGACACCAACAACTGCCAATGCGATACGTGTCCAAAATGTTTCTCCAAACAATAATACCCCTAAACCCTTTCATTCTGATTGGTTGCCAAGTAATTATGACAGCTCCATCCCCACTGAGTCATTACTATTACATGTAGATACAACAGACTATGCGAATGATAATTCACCAAAAATCACTAAACCTACTAAACACTTGTCATTAGACACTAGCCAAATGGTCATAGCAATGGAACTAGCTGAGCATGTTACTTCTATCAACACCCACACTCCATGCATATCCAATAGCATGCAAACTATATCTTCAATGCAAGATTTGTGATCATTTTCTCTCTCTAATCGCTCTAGCTCCAAAAATCTTAAAGTCACCATCCATGAGAACAATGTCAAACTTACTGTTTCCACTAAACATGAGGAACCGTTTAACACTCCTAACCTACGGAGTTCCAAGAATTCTGTTTCAACTCCCAACCATGAACAATCAAAATTACCCCATGTAGTTTACAAACCTAGTTTACGCAACACTACCTCTCCACCCAAATCATCAACCCAACTCATGGATCGAACAAGGCCTTCATGGCTAAGCTCTCTTTTTCACGATGATGCGAGAGGGACAGTAAGTCATGGTGATCATTCAAAATCCCAATTTCCTAGCCTAGATAGTGACGAAAGGAATGAGAAAGACAATGGACAACTATATGAACCATATGTGGATAGCCAATATTATCGACCCACTAGCACCGGCAGTCGCTCCGGTACTGTATCATGCCATGCACAACAATTGGAACAACCCACTACTAAAGATGAACCAAATGTTCAACCTTCCCTTATTTCACCCTCAAGAAATGATAGAACTGAACCCTCTATTGTTCCTATGGGTGGATCTATGTGGAGCAGTGTGGGTGCTGAAGCATCCATTATCTTTAGCTTAAAGTTTGGGTATTGTATAGTAAATTAATGGTAATCACCATATAGAGGCAAGGAGCACCCACAAAACAAAAATGGCGCTGGGTACTGTCATTTTATTGGTGACTTGATGTTTTACATGTGACGGTTGGCTTTAAGTTGTGGGTTCGAAACTGGTCTGAGGCAAAAAATTCCGATTGGAAAAGTTTTCCTTTTTGTCGATTCTTTCATGTTTCCTTTCATTATTTTCTTTACATTCCTTGTACCATTTCCCTTTCTCTTATTTTTATTTGATTTAACTTCTTTCTTTTGATTGGTTTATTCCTGAAAATTGAAGTATTCACTATTCAAAAATAGCATCTAAGTTTTGTTGTAATGATAACCTTAATATATTTTTCTTGTTAAATTTTAACCTTTCTTTTCTAATAACAGTACACTTATACTATATATAGGTCAATCTAAGTAAAGACAATGGAGCACCCATTACTTTAAAAATCTGAATCCGCCACTGGTTGTTCCCATGGCAACCCCAACAACCACAACACCAACCACTCAGCAGAACCCAATACCAATGGAAGCTCCAATGGAGCAGCCACCAACTCCAGAACAAGGAGGAGAAGTAATGGAAGAAGAGGAGGACCTAGAGGTTCTTCCCTCTCTAGTAAGGGACTCGTTCACATAAATTTCAACCATAAGAGGTATAGCCCTTATGCTATTCCCGGAGAGGGAGGACATGAAACATATATTTCGGTGCCCGATAGCTCTTCAAAAGTGCTCGATCGAAATAACACCACCAATCAATATAGTTGCAGCAAAATATGCAGTACTATTGACCCAAACACTACGAAGGAGTCGGTTCCTTCCCAAAGGAACTCATGCTAATGGCAACATATGACATAACCAACCATCTACCATGAATAGGCTAACTAACATAATCATTTGGAACGTCAGAAGTGCTAACAATGTTGATTTTCAGCGTAACTTTAGAGAAGTAATCAACAATTACAATCCCTGCATGGTCGCCTTACTAGAAACCAAAATGGAAAACTATGCACCCATAAGAGAAACCTTTAAATTTTTAGACCTGATTGAGGTGCCAACTCAGGGGAGAGCTGGTCGTTTAGTTCTTATGTGGATGGATAACCTGGTCACAGTGGAGTGCATTAGACAGACTGATTAACAATTGCATGCACTAGTCCAGGCACACCCTAATAACACTCTTTGGCTATTTAGTTCTATTTATGCTAGCACATGTCCTATTAATAGTAATACTCTTTGAGACAATCTTAAACCATCTATGATAATTACAAAGGCTTATGGTTCATAGGTGGAGACTTTAATGATGTTCTCGCACAAGATGAAAAATAGGGAGGTAGGCAGATTAGTCAAACTAGGGCATCTAAATTTTGGTCGTGTATCAACTATTGCAATTTAATAGACTTGGGGTTTA